ATTGACAAAGAACATAGAAAGGAATAAATCGCTGAACACTTTTTCGAGGTAAAGAACGCCGATAAAATTAAAGCAGAACTTAATACTGTCGCATTGATAGCAAGAAGAAATTTGCCGCTTAAAGTGCTACTGCAACAAAATTTTCGAATTGTCTTTTTTGGCCTTAAAAGAAACTTCAATCTTTGCTGAGAAATATGATATAAAAATAATTAGCAGCAACACATTAAATTGTTTACAAAAGGCCGCCAAAGTTATGAGGTCATGGCGAATTTCGCACATCGCTTGTGACGTAGAAAGTAGAACACATTGCAAACAGCAAACAACAACAAAGCGCACTCCGGTCAGACGTCAGTAGATGCCTGTCGAAGATGGATTCATTTTAGTTTTACCAAATTAAAGCAAGATGCTGGACAGCGAATACAGCAGCACCAAAAGTATTTCAGAGCAATTTTCATTAATCGATAGTTCAACTGACGGAGATTATGAAGTTGTGAACTTACAAGCTCACGCTCCATACCAAGACGAACCACTGGCTCTGCCTGGGCAAGCGCGAGTGAATTTTGAGGAAGACAAGGATGGCATTCCTCGTGAAACACTGGAGGCCAGATTCGAGAAGAGAGTTGCTGTGAATGACTGGTAGGTGACTTAAATTACATATGAAGTATTAGATAAATTCTTTCCTGAGAAATTCAGTCACTCGCAGGGCCTAGACGACAGGCCCTCCTTCAATAACTTGGTTTAGGGCAAGCAAGCCTAGGGTCTACTTAGGCCCCAACGTGTGAATGAATCATTTAGTCCGAGCCGTCTTCGAAAAAAACTCGCATCTGTAATTTATTCACTCGCATCTTTTCCAATTCAAATCACGTTTTTACTTAACCCATTTAAATCTTCTTTCCTTTTCTAAAGGTGCTCGTGTTCACAGTGTAAAGATGAACTGTTGGTGGGTGCGTTAGAATACAGATGCTGCAGGGAAGTACACTGTGCTATTGGCAAGGCAGTTTTTGATGGCACAATTGATGGAATAACATGTATCATCCAACACCGCAATTATAACGCATTGGTCAATACAGAGGTCCTGATGATGGTTGGGCCTTTATTGAAAGACTCGCAAGGGCGAGCATACAAGCGAAGAGCAGGACAAGGCAGAAACGAGTAAGCTAATAGTTGAATAGTTGCAAATACTTTTAGAATTTTTATTTTTGAAGTCTAAAATTTGCGATAAAATTGTTTCAATCCACACCATTGGTGGTATGTTGACAACAGCTGATCATTTCTCAATCTGGAGCCATTAAACCAGATAACATGATTATAACCAGAAGATACTTGTTGGTGAAAATGAACAAGACTAAAGCATGTTCCCATAACCCAAAAATATTCTTAATATTAAAAATTACACAATTGGCAAAACAAGCTATTCATGATAGCAAAATGAAAACACAGTATATATATTCTGTAGTTTTTTATAATTTCACTTTCAAGAGAATCTGCTTTTTGTGCAGAACTTTAAAACTTGGCAAACTATAGCCTTCCCTACCCCAGGATTAGCAATTTCAACCCCAGACTAAATAATTTTTGTTATAAGAACAGCAACCAATATTTGATCATGAACATAAAATACTTATTGTCAGTTACTTATTGTTGTAGGTAAGCCATGTTAAATGCATAACATAAATAAAATAGATCAGTCTTTGGCATAAATAAGAATCAACATATTTTTCAGGTATCTTAGGGCTGTTGCCTACAGATGGCTAATTCGTTGGTTCTGTGGTTACCTTGGTTGGGACAACAGAAGACCACTGCCAGCCTGCATATACCATAACATAAGGACGAAATTCCAGACAGCTGCTACTACTGGTTATGCAGATAATGAATAAGACTTTAAGCATTAAAATATTTGAGAGTAACTGTTTAGATCTGACTCATTTTCAGTAAAAATATGCAAACATTTCAAATGTGCCAAAACTTATGAATCTGAGGGTCCAAAAGCTCTACAAAATGAGCTACAGAATATGGCTTTTGCCCTCATGTTTCACTACATGTTTGTTCCAAATATCAGTATAAGTAGCAGTTGCTCTCAAACATTTCCAGTCAGTTTATTTGTTTGAGTGTATTTAACTTTTGCTAATTTCTAACCAGTAAATTTTAAACTTAACCCTTTCCATACTGAGGTCCACTTTTTTTATACAAGTTTTGGTAGAACACAAGTGGACTTCAAATACCGAAAGGGTAAGGCTCTTTTGATAAAAGCAAATACTTTCTTTTGCAAAGAAGAGAGAGATCTGGAGTGTTTCACCAAAAATCAGTCACACTTTCCACGTTTATGCCCCTTTGTTGGTTTCCCACATTTTTTGCAGCAGCGGTTGGTCTTTCTTTTTCTTGTGCTTTCAGCCAATACAGCTGGTTTCATTAGGCTTAATTGCAAGGATTCTTGTTCATTTTCTGTGCAAAAAATTAAACCAACAATATAACCACAAAGGCAAAATAAAAGTGTACCACAACCAAAACCTGTATTTTGATTGCAACATTAGCTGCTGCTGTGCAAATGTACATTCTATATAAATATACACAAATTATGATTTCAGTGATTATGATGGGAAAGGGTATTGACCCAAAGATCCCAGATTGAATCTGGTCAATCTATTCTTACAAATATGAACAATAAGAATTTGCAATTACCCCATTTTCTATGAGACCTTGAACCAATGATTTCTAAATGGTCCCTTTCATAAGAAATTTATATATATCTTGATGGAAAACTAGGCTTTCTGTTTAACAAGTGGTTTTCCCTTGCTGTATGATCCAGTATCCCAGTGTAATTACATACTGTATTTCATCAACAGACAACAGTATGTGAAGGTTTTTGTCCAAATAACACAAGAAAATATTTTACCTGTAGGGTACATTGGTGTAGTAGTGCTCTGCTTTAAAATATATTCAGAGATGGCACCATTCTTTTGACGTCTGTTTGGGAACTGAGCAGTTAAAGGCTCTGGCACTTTCCGTGTGTACTTTTCCAGGACACTCCCAAGCTCCTCCAAGGGCGTGCTGAACAAAACATTTCTTATATTGTCCACATATGCTGCAATATGAGGAAAAATTTATACAATTTCATGGTCTGTAGATACTCTGGCGCACTGTTACATAGTAACTGTTTTATTTTTAATTCTGATGCATAAAGCTAAATGTGTTTCAGGCTAATTAACAATGGCAGGCAATATTTTTATGCATTATTAGTCTCATAACAATTTTTAACTTGTGGGGTACAAAGCACTCAGTGAAGTTAACTGGATAGACTACTTTTAAGTTAAAGTCCAACACAAAGAAGTGATAGAAAAAAGATATCATCCTTTATTCATTTAATTTCAAGACAACATTAAACCTCATCAACTAGAATCATTTCATGTCTTTCAAATATTTTGCAAGCAATTGTAACATTGTGAGTTTTGTGACTCTAACAACAGAACTAACAAAGCCTTTCTCACTGAAGCAGTCTGTAACACAGAATACCTTTGTTTGATGTCAAAATTAGTAGTAAAATAACAATTTTATTGGTTTACTTACCGTATGTAGGGGGTATGGCAACTTCTCTGACAACTTCTTCCCCAAGTTTGAATTTTGGGTAAACAACTGAGTAGCATACTGATCCATCTAATGCTGTTCGTGCTTCACGATTGAGATTCTCGTTAAAATGAGAAATAGCCAAAACATGTCTGAAACATAAGATGCATTATGTGTTACGTCTGGTTTAACTATATAAAATACATTTTTCTGTTCTAAATGACTGTTTGGCTTGCTATGTCAAGACATCTTGTTTGGATATTAAAATACTTCTCCCATTTTCAATCTTTAGAACTAACCAAACAAGACTATCTTGGTGCAACACGCCACATAACCACATAAAAAATTACATCACACAATTGTCTCATGTGCTGAAATTATAACATCCGAGATCTCACCTGCAGTATGTACCAAGCCAAGAAAAGTGAACCATCTTTGGGTGCCAGTGATTTAACGTTGAATGAAAGCCTTCCAGGCAGCTTGTCTGGGCATCACATGATGACTCTGGCATCTTTTAAAGTGGTTGTGTTGCAAAGAATCTTGAGTAATTTGTCATATGCAGGTGTACCTGACAAAATATCAAAAACCAAAACATTTCAAATGGATTTCTACTAAAAACAAGGAATGGTTGGTTTCATTCCACTAAAGCCTGGATGATGTACTATTCGCCTCCAACAAATTTAAGGCTTGTACCCACAAAACATTTACATTTACATACCGATTGGAATCCATTCACGTGGTTCAAGTTCAACATGTGCACACTTGTTGTATAACTGACTCGGATGTTCATCATGTGATGAGGCTTGTTTGCAATATGACGCATCAAGGATCTCCACTTTGCAACAATCAACTCACCAAAGCCTTGCTTGGTAGAAAGGGCACACCAATAAAGATGCTTATGTATTCCCTTGAGCCATAATTTTAGTACTTCAAAGCCTTTTTCTTTGCTGCCTTTCAAGATTTTCTTTGTGAGACCTTTGCAGACATGCCACAAATCATTGAAATGGGAGGTTTCAGGCTGTGATTCACGAATCCACTTTGCGATTCCTTTGTGCCGATCACTTATGAATGTTGTGATTGTCAAACCAGCATTCTTTATGTACTGAAAGCAACGTTTGGCTCCATCAAGTTCCATTGCGTTACTTGACCCTGATTCATTTGCCTTAAAATTAAAAGGTTTCATTTAGGAGTTGCATGCAAATCACAAATGCCACTGCCATCTTTAATATAGTGGTTACTTCTTTTGTGTTTGGTTGATACATTTTCTCACTCATTCAGTGATATAATCTGTGTGATGCATTGAATCTCTACCAAATATGAGTGCTGTATAAATCCTCTAAAACACTTTAAAATGGCAATAGCAGATTTATCTGTTTTCACATGAAATTGACAATTATACTTACAGTACTTAACTTTTTGGGTTGCTGTGGACAATAGGATTGAAAAAATACCTTAGACAAACACATGACACAGAAACAATGACTCTGAAAAATTGCTCACCTGAAGCAGTTCAAAATGGACCAGTTTGGAGATGGAATTGGAAAACAATGTGTAGACACCATATTTAGCATTGTGACCCATAGAATCAAACCTTCCATCTCCAGACCATTGTGCATTCTTGACCCCTCTCAATTTTTCAAGCAGTGATGAGCGATAGCTTTCCCAATGATGGAGCACAGATGGGAAGAAGAATTTTTTCTGATGATGAAAAAAGGTTCGTCCAGATATGGCTGACAGCCCCATGTGTCTAAACATCAACAAAGCCTGGCTTATTCTCACACCCGATGTCAAGATGCCAAAACTCAGCATTACATTGCCTGCAGGATATTTTCCAAAGAGTGATGGCTGACTTTTCCACTGGAAATGAATTCTGCACTGCCTACATTTCTGCACAACAGTTGCCATTGTTCCAGTGCGATGTACCTCAACAGAAGGATTGTCAGCTTTGCATCGGAAACAGAAAGTTTTGAAAATTGCCAGCAACATTCCATAGAAAACCACAAACTTGGGCTCTTCAGCAACTCTTGTCCCAGGTCTAACACTAAAAGAGGTTTACTGTATTGTATAACTGGTCCAAGACTGTAAAGCTGCTCTGATAGGGTTATACAGTGAAAAAATGAAGGAGCTGTATTTTCAATAAACTTTCAATATATACTTTCAATATTTTCAATATTGTGAAACATACTGCACTTTCTATTTTGTTTTGCCTGAAACTGGAGCTGAATGACTTGTGTTGTTTTGCCTGATGCTGGATCTTTTCAGACTTACATTAAGTCAGATATTGAGTGATGAAACTGCAGTACAGTTTCTGTGAAAATTATTTTCAGCCTAATCACAATCAAACATACTGTATTTTCTATTTTTTGACAACTCCTCTATATCTGCAACCCCAGGGGGGGGGGCACTCCATAACTTTTGATATTCGGGGTCTGTGAATTACAACATTGCCACAATTCAATATTTGGGGCAAAAATGTCTTGCATTGACTGTTGTTTTGAGATTCTATCGACTCGTTCACTGCGAAACATGCAACTATCTAAACTCTACGTGACGCGTGCTAAAAAGTTCTACCTCAGCGATCATTAGAACTTTCTAGAAGCTTCTAATTAGCTGACAATAGAGCAGCAAGCAATCTACTCTAACAACGCGTCCTACTAATTACGAAGGTCATTAGTTTACTTACAAACGCAGCAATTACGTAACTGTTGAGTGCACGTTCCCAACACTCCCACTCAATCAACAGTTTCTTTTCAGGTTTTATTGCATTCCGAGCTTGCAGTGTAGGTACTCAAATTGACCTCTGTTCAGTGATTTAGTAAGTAAGTCAGCCAGCATTTCTTTCGTGTTGCAATATTTTAGTAGCAGTGTCCCTTTCTCTACTTGTTCTCGAACAAAATGATACCTTATGTCGCTGTGTTTCGTCCGTTTATGTCCGACTGGATTTTTTGTCATCGAAATTGCTCCTTGGTTGTCTTCCATGATGGTTATAGGTTGCACATTGTCTCCTATTTCTCTAAACAGTTGCTTCAGCCATACGACCTCTTGGGCACCTTTACTCAAGGCAATGTACTCTGCCTCAGCGGTTGAAAGAGCCACTGTTGATTGTTTTTGACTAAGCCAGCTAATGGCACCTCCGGCCATCATGAAGACATTTCCAGTGGTTGAGTGGCGATTCTGCATATCGTCAGCCCAACTAGCATCACTAAATCCCGTAACTTCTTTGCTTTCTGATTTCTTGTAAACCAGCGAAAGATTGATTGTTCCTTTCAGATAACGAAATACCCGTTTTACTGCAGTAAGATGCGCTTCTGTTGGTGCTGAATTGAATTGATAAAGAGCTCCCACTGCTTGAGTGATATCAGGCCTTGTTGCGATGGCAGCATAGAGTAAACTCCCTATCATAGACTGATATTGAACGTTATCAACAGGTTTACTGTTTCCATCATCTGCTACAAGTTTGACATTTGAATCAAGAGGTGTACACACTGGATTAGCATCTTGAAGTCCATAGCGCTTCAGTAATTTTTCAATGTACTGCTTCTGTGATAGACTGACACCTTCTTCGCTTTGCTCAACGCTGACTCCAAGGCAGAAATGAAGGCTGCCCAAATCTTTCATCTTGAAATTCTTTCTCAGGTTTACTTTCATTTGTTTCATTTCATCTTGAGTAGTGGATATGATGATTAAATCATCTACGTAAACAGCAATAATTGTCAAATTGTTTCTTTCAAGAGATCCTTTCACGAAGATGCACGGATCTGCTTGACCTTGTCTGAAATTTAGTGATTCGAGCGCGTTTCTAAATTTTCGATTCCAGCAACGTGGTGATTGCTTGAGTCCATAGAGGGATTTTTTGAGCCTGCAAACGAGATTCTCTTTTCCACGTATCACGTAACCCTCTGGTTGCTCCATATAGATTTCTTCCGTTAAATCTCCGTTCAGAAATGCCGTAGTTACATCCATTTGATGAATCAGCATTCGGTTTTGAACTGCAAAAGCCAGTAAGGCTCGAATAGAACTGAACCGCACGACAGGAGAAAAGGTTTCATCAAAATCGACGCCGTACTTCTGAGAATATCCTTTTGCTACTAAACGACTTTTGAAACGTTCCACTTGTCCATTTTTGTCATACTTTACTTTGAAGACCCACTTGCACCCGATAGCCTTTCGGTCTTTTGGTGGCTTCACTAACTCCCACGTTTGGTTCTCTATGAGTGACTGATACTCTGAATCCGTTGCTTCTTTCCACTGTGCGGAATATTCACTATTGAAGGCTTCTTGGATGGTAGCTGGTTCTTCGATGATTGCTGAGAATACAACATGTCTTGCTTCTGTGACGTCAGCATACTCATCCAAGCCAAATCGAGGTGGTGGTACCCCTTTTGTGGATCTTTGAGATCGTCGAGGATGGCTTTCTTCTGCATCCGTGTTCCCTTCCGTAGGCTCTGTTTGTCGTTTATCTTCCTTTGCTGGTTCTGGACCCATCTTCAAATACTGTTTTTGAGATCCAAAATCATTTTCATTGAAGTTAACGTCTCTTCTGATCACTATTCTCTTGCTCTGCATATCAAAGAGTCGGTATCCTTTCTGATTTGCACTGTACCCCAAGAATCGAAATCTGTTGGCTTTCTTGTCCAACTTTCTTCGCTCAGCCTCTGGAATATGAGCATAAGCTATGCAGCCGAACACACGAAAGTGGGAGACATCAGGGGGTTTTCCATACCATTTTTCATACGGTGTTTGACCTGATGCGCTGGTTATAACACGATTCCTTATGTAGGCTGCAGTGTTGACTGCTTCTGCCCAGAAGGTCTTGCTGAGTCCGGCATGGTTCATCATTGCTTTTGCGGATTCAACGAGAGTCCGGTTCATGCGCTCAGCCACTCCATTCTGTTGTGGAGAGTGAGGAACAGAAGTTTCGTGTTTGATACCTTTCCTTTTCAGAAGATTTTCAAATTCATTTGATACATACTCTCCGCCATTATCTGTACGCAAGGTTCCAATTTTACATGCAGCTTCATTGGTT